AGTCAGGACTTCCTTGAAAGAAGGGTGGTTTGTGCTTTCTAAACGTCAACAGTAGTCCTTGGTTATCTTGACCTGCCGCACCGTTTCCTGGAGGAGGTCGGGGTCCTTCACCATGACCCCCGGCTCCTGTTCCCGAGCCGCTTGCTCCGTTATTGTTTGCATTAGCATTTGGGTTCCTTCTGATCTCATTCATTATATTCTGAAACATATCTCCCGTGTTGGTTTGTAATTGGGTGATGGTGTCCCGCAACGTGTTAATTTGTCCTTGTATATCTTGCGTAGGGGTTCTTCGTGGAGGCATCTTGCTGTACATAGATACAGCAAATGGTTAGTGTTCCATCCTAATCCGAAATTTTGCTCTGATACCATAAATGTAACACCCCAAATGTAAATACATATAGGGTGCACCTTCATCATGCATTCAACGCGCGGAAGTCTAAATTTAAACTTTACGAATGCAAATATCAGAGTGCGGAATGGAAACACATAACCATACTTATTCCATATAAAATTAAAAGCGTTAAAACGTCAATACAAAATAAATAACACTAAACATTATTTAATGTAATCCCAAAAAGATTAACTAATCATAAATAAAAACATAATTTATGCCGCATCATAAGCCCAGTCATAATGTGGTTGTGGTTCCTCTAGCCATTGTGTACTTAGTGCTTCATCGAAATCATAATGTGGAAAAACTTCTATTAATAATTTCATAGCCTTAGTCCATAGGCCTCTATCTGTTAGATCCTTTAGTTTCTCTTCCCAGGTAGGTGGAGTTTCTTCTTCTTTACGTACTAGTCTCTTACCCTTTCTTTCCAAAATAACTTTCTTATTACTTTCTTTCATCTTTTCCTGAAATGGGTTGTCAAGGGGGGTGAGATTTTGGGGGAAATCTCAGTAAGGTTCACAGCTGGAGCATTCTCCAACTATGACGCTTACTCCTGCAACAGTTTATAATAACAATACAAAATGGAACATTTAACATCATCATATAAAAATATCATGCCATCATCATCATCATCATACTCCTGCCGGCTTTTACGGACTTACGGAGATACCCAGAGTCCTCGTCAGGTTGCAACTGGAGTATCAGTGCACAGGCCAACATTTAATAACATGGTTTTAAGTTTCAAAAATATCATAATCACATAATGTAAAGCACTATAAACATATTGCAGTCAGACCATAACTTATCATAGTTTCATAATGGTGGCATACATAGAGAGATTACTTCAACAACTGTAAACACTTACAGTGCTTATCGTTCTTTACTTGTATACTTTCAACTTTTGATCTCTTTACTTGCCTGTTTGCTCCCTTGACTCCCTAACATCATCATATCATCTTTTAGTAACTTATATAACATTCAACATTTGTGTTTTATCCATGTATAGGTCTCGGCTTTGCAGGTTTAATTACGTAGAGGAGTTGTTTTGCTTACTTACCCACTTGTGTAGGTTTTAGGACATTATTAGGTCATCATAACACTTAATAGAATTATTAAAGATTTCATTCTAGGCATGTATAGGTTCGGCCACCATAGATAAACATCTAGGAATATAATTTTTAAAACATGCTTTCAATTATATTATTAACTTAACATGGTTAGATCCTTTCAACATTAATCAAATAAAACCTCTTTTAGCTACATACCATTCGACCTTATTTCCCTAAAATACCTAAGGGATTACTTCTAAAACATGCTTCTAACATTATTGATAATTTATCATATTTAAATCCTAGAGCATCATTCAAAACATCATCTTATATATTCGGCCAACTAAGGTTATGATCATGCAAAATTGATTTAGAACCTAGGCTACTAAACATGCTAATCTAACATCATCATTTCATCATCTTTCATATCATTTAAACATCTCTTCATGCTTATAATTATCATACATGGTTTGGCCTTCTAGGGATCATATACTTAGGATATCACTTTCATGCTTTTACATGTCATTCCTAACCAAGAAGGTTCATAGGCTTACCTTTGATGATGATCAACGACTTAAGGAAACACTTCTTGACCTTTGACTACTTTGAATCTTCTTGAATGAACTTCCTTCCTCCTTGAACATACAAGGCCGCAAGCTTAAAGAGAGGAGAAGAGGGATTTTCTTGCTTAGAGATGAAGGGTTCTTTGGTGGAATTATTAGGAAGAAGGAGTAAGATCCAGGCTTGTATTTGATCTTGGAACAATTAGGTATTTCTCACTAACACACTCACCATTTCGAAGCATTCATGGACTTCACAAAATGAACTAAACTCTTTGTTCTTTCCTTTGGTAGTGCCGCGGCTATAGAGGGAAAAAGGAGAGACTAAAGCTTGTTCAAATAGGCAACCTAGAAGCCTTGCCATTACTTGATTGCTGGTAGGTTTCGATCACATTAAATGAGAGTAAGGTGGTGATTTGTTGTCATAGGTTAGATTGCTTAATTTAGGGACAAGAACATGATGTCAATTTCCTTGATTAAGGAAATTTAGTGATTGCTTGATTTAAGGAATTGATGATGTGTGACTAATCGTCATTAAAAGTTGCTCCCTTGATTTAAGGGATTGATGAGGTGTGACTAATCGTCATAAAGGTTACTTCCTTGATTTAAGAAACAGAATTATTTGATTGATTGACATATTGTCATCAATTTTCTTGATTTAGGGAAAGTGATTGACTACTAATCATCATAATCCTAACTTCCTTGTTTAAAGGAATTTGACTGGCTTGACTTAAGGAAATTCGATTTGCATTTAATGGCTTGAAAATCAAATAAAATCAAATTCATTTCCTACACCTAGGCCGCGGATTTTAAATGCTTGGAAGGAAAAGATTTCCTTTAATTTTGGACCATGATTTATTCCTTAAGATTATGGACCTTTAACCTATTAACCTGACCTAATTTGTGCCTATTTTTCCATGATTTTATGACACTTTAAATTGACTTCTTAGAGCTTGTTTTCTCTAGTAAAACCGTGGGCTTCTTGCTTGTAGGGAAAGAATTCTAATTTAATTCCTAGTCATATAGTACTTCTTTAGGTTTATTATGTCATGGCCTTACTTTGGGCTTTAACTTGATTTGGGTTTCATTTACCTTATTGGACTTTACTTTATCATATATTAGAACACCAAAAGATTCAGGCTTACTTCTTGTTGAAGACATGATTCTTGATTTCTTCTTGCTTCTTGTTTGCTCTCTGACGCTCCTGCAAGATCGAAAAAACTAGGATCTTCTTCTGCAGTTCACACCACTCCCTAATCACAACTCTAGATAGGGCAAGCTGTGGAGTGACGGTTTTTCTACACACTCCCTATATGGATCATGACTTAGTCCGTTTTTTATTAAAATAAGAAAAACTATAATTGATTGAAGCCCACAATTATTATAAAAATTTCTAACAGTATCTCGATCGAGCCAATAACCGAATCGGATTTAATAACATTGGTTTTTGGAGTTAGAGACTGCATATTGTTATGTCCTCAGTAGTGGTTTAGTATATGTTTCACATGCTCCCGAAGTTGTAACGCAATTTCATGCTCAAATGTATTTGATTGTTGTTTGTGGTGTAACACGTTAATTTTGAGTGAACGATTAAAATTTTGCAAGTGATCTCATAATATGCTGTCAGGTCTATTAAAGTGGTCATTACGTTTTCTGAAATGCAATATACTTTACATGTGAAAATCCTTTTGATGATTTGTATTTGCGATGACAGGAGGGAATGATATGATTTTATTGTGAGTGCCAATCACGAAAAAATGTTATGGCTGTATTGTGTTTTCTTTTTTCTTTTTTCATTTGGAGATTTTGCACCCGGTTCATCAATTTTTTGATTAATATGATCGAGTCAGGTAAGACTATACTGCCGGCAAAACTCTTTCTCATGGTCTTTACGTTGTAAGTGTCAAGCAGGAAAACATCTTATGGATGTATGATTGAGTCTTTTTCTTTTTTCGAGATTTTTTTCACTGGTTTATTGATTATTTAACTAATCCAGTCTAGTTAGGTAGGACTTACAAAAATAACAAAATTCTTCCAATCAAATTTTTATCATAATTACATATTCATAACTCTAACTCTAACTCTAACTCGGGACTTCTAATTCTTAGCACTCATGCATTTACCGTTAGATACACAACATATCTCCTAAATTTGTGAAGTTTGAATGTAAATCCGTTGAATTTCGGGGTCTGGAAATATGAGGAAACTATCAACCTGTGCAGAACGAGTCCTATATTTCTTGGTATATAAATATGGTATAACTCTTCCAAATGCAATAATACAAGAAAAAGAAGAAGAAAGAAAGCAAATCTTGATTAAAACTAATTAAAAGGATATTACAAAGAAAGAAAGATGCAAACACTGCATTTTGACAAAAGAAAAGCCAAGAATTTTTACAAGAACCACAACCTCTAAAGCTAATTAAAAGGAAACCATACAAATCCATGGGACACGACAGAGCAACAGTCTCCAAGAAATCCCAAACAGCTAGCTTACTACAAAGAAAAGTAACTGAACTAGAACAATACAAAAAATTAAGAGACAAGCTAGCCACAACCTCTGAAACTAAGTACAAGAATGCAAAAAACAGCTAGCGTACGTTATGTATGTTTACTTATACCCCTTAATTTGATCTGTTACATTAATTATTGTTCTGCATGTTGTGGTTGTAAACCAAGTCTAGCGAATCCAAGAGGTGAACAGAATATCTACCGTTGTTTAGCATGCTGAGGTTGTAACCCAATTCCAGACGATATCGGATATTGCTGTTTAGCATGCTGAGGTTGTAACCCAATTCCAGACGAGATCGGATATTGCTGTTTTGCATGTTGTGGTTGTAACCCAATTCAGCATGAGATCGGATATTGCTTCTTAGCATGTTTTTGTTTTGGTTGTAAAACAACTCACCACGAGATCGGATATTGCTTCTAATTTGCATGTTGTGGTTGTAACCGAATTCCGCACGAGATCGGATATTGCTGCTTTGTATGTTGTGGTTGAATGAATCTAAGACCAAAACGTCGCCGTCCAAAAGCTTCCCCTGACGTTGAGCATTCAAAACCAGAGTCTCTATTGAGAAAGAAGCAGCCATTCTTGGCATGCAAACAGATAGATGTACAGAGAGAGACAGAGAGAGATATGTATGTAGAAAGAGAAGAGAAAGTTTACTTGTGAGGAGATGAAGTGGTGTGGTATAATTTATAGAATTTGCACCTCTTAATTAGTCACTTGTTGTTCTGCGTTGATTAGCTGGATTTATTAAATCTAAGATTGAAATTTGATTTTGATTTTGATTTGATTTGATTTGCGTCATAAAGTTATTCTGTTTTTTTATTACCGTTTCAATTATTACCGCTTTTAGGTTTCTTTATTGAAAATTACATGTTTATAAAAAGCTTGCATTTATTACATGCGCTTATTGTATTTATTCTTCATGATTTTCTTTCCTTTTTGTTTGTTTTTTTAATTTTAATGACCTTCATTATTTCCATTAAATGGACATCTGAGGTATGCTCCTGTTAGCACTAAATTATTTATATAATTATTGCATTATTTTATATTATTTTATATCTTTTTGGGTTGACAATTACACGAAAATAGGCTGAAAGAATATGAAATATAGCCCAATTCCAATAAAGGAAGTAACCAAGCCCAAGTTAATTCAATTTTTGCACATGGATCAAATTTTTTGGAAGAGGGGACAATTCAGAAGCATTGGTTGACAAGAAGATAGACGGCTATTAGCTTTTAGAATTTTTTAGTTTTTAGTTCCTTTTGTGGGTTGTAAAAAATACACAGTTTTAGATTTAGAATTTTTCAATCTTCGTAATCTTCGTTGTTTTTTTTAGAAAACTTTGAGTGTTGTTAGATTCTGTTTGTTGAAAGCTCTCATCTGGTGATGGAATTGTGCTCTGGGGGAAGACTTGTCGACCAGATGTTTAGGGAGGGCCCTTGTTCTGAACAGCGGGCTGCTAATATACTTAAGGAAGTGATGTTGGTCATCAAGTATTGTCATGATATGGGAGTTGTGCACAGAGATATCAAGCCTGAGAATATTCTGCTTACTGCTTCGGGGGAAATAAAGCTTGCTGATTTTGGCCTGGCCATGAGAATTTCTAAGGGTAATATGTTAAACCTGTTTGGATGATCTTCTTTTTTTGTTATCCTATGGTATATATATGTGCTAACTTCTATGAATAGAATCCTTACACAACCTTCCTTGTGTAAAATTCCATCCTAGTCATTCTGTTAATAAAAAATGTCTAGGCAAGTTTGAAGAAGTTCATCATGATGAGCTTTCAACTGAATTGTACTTTACTAATGTTACCCTGTACATAGGAGTAAAAATTGGAGAGTTCAAATGGTCATCTCCCTTAAGTTTACTATGTTCAGTATTCAATTAAATTTGCTAGCGGTCTAAGAATAAGAGGTCCTAGAGAAAATGCTTATAATAGTTTGAAGCTAACCATTCATACTCTAAGGTCACTTTGTTTAATTTTTAAGCATTTAAAAATATCAGTAATTCAATTGACATATATATAAATACACACACATAAGTAAAAGATACATACATGCATACATGAGTAATTTATGCATAGCCTCATTGTCTAGAAATTTGCATTGCAGGTCAGAACTTGACGGGTTTGGCTGGGAACCCTGCATATGTTGCACCAGAAGTGTTGTTGGGTAGATACTCAGAAAAGGCGGATATATGGAGTGCTGGAGTGCTCCTGCATGCTCTGTTGGTTGGTGTTCTTCCATTTAAAGGGGATTCACAAGAAGCAGTTTTTGAGGCTATTAAGAATTCCAAGCTAGAGTTCCAAACCGGGATGTGGGAATCAATATCTAAACCTGCACGAGATCTTGTTGGGAGAATGCTGACAAGGGATATTTCAGCAAGGATAACAGCTGATGAAGTACTTAGTAAGTTTATGGTAGATTATTAATGTTTTGTAGCGTGCTTTATCTCTCTTCCTCAATGATGAATACACCAAAGACTAGTTGTATTTGGTCTGATTTTTTGTTTTTTAATCTTGAAATAATTAAAATTAGAAATTTCCAAGTTTTGTTGAAAAGTATCTTTGCCTTTCACATGAATTCTTAATAATTAGAAGGATTGCCTTGTTTTGGTTGGGATAACAGTGGTGGGAATCTGTTAATTCTCACATACTTTTGTTAGTTTTTATTATGTGTTCTTCTATGTGGTTGAGGCTCTCTTTTTCTCCCTAATGTTTTTAAACAGGAAATAAAATGACAGTACTTTTAAGTTTTAAGAACTGTTCGATTGTTTGCATGTTAAATTAATATTATGTGGTTCAATTTCAGGACATCCATGGATATCTTTCTACACAGAACATACATTGAAGATCCTGCCCGTTGAATCAAAGTTGAAGCACCAAAATGGAGCTGCTTGCCACAACTTTGTTGCTGCACCTGAACCTAGGTTAGGAAGAAACAGGATGGATGATGGGTTCCTTAATGAGGTTTCAAGCCTTTCTTCATCATCTGAAAGTTGCAATTCAGAATATCATGATGTTTGTGTGTGGATTGATGCACTTGCCAATGCAATTTCACATGTAAGGATATCTGAACCAAAGAGGAGCAAGTTGTGGGCAGTTCCAATTCATCAGCAAGGTTTATATAACATGAAGGCTAACCTCTGTAAAGCATTTTGACCTACTGACAGGTTGACACCCCATAAACCACTATCTCTGCTGCTTTAGCTGGGGTTTTATAGTATACTTTGCCCAACACATTCTACAGTTGGCAAAAGTGGATTACATTTTTTTCCTCTAAATAATGATTACTGAGAAAACTCTGCTAGTTGTACAGAACCTGTGAATATGATATTAGTGTGTCACTGCATGTTTTTGCTCTTGCTGGAGCATGATAAATAGAATGCTATGATTTCACTTCAGTGAAAACTTGACCCTACTCATATGTTTTTTTGGAAGATTTTAATCTGAAACCATGAGTGCATAAGCGTATGTTATCCCTCCCATAACGCGCTGCATGTGTACTTATTTAGTGTTGGCAATTTGTATTTCAAGACATACTTTTTTGTACAGATGGTAGCGAGGAGTTTGACCTTGAGTCAATTATATATAGCAATGGCGTTTACTTTGAAAATGGAGTTGACAGCTGCTTGCTTATTTTCACTGAAAAAAAAGGAAAAAAAAGTACAGCTACTTGTGTTTAGAAGAGGCGAATCTTAACTACCGGGGGATAGATTTTGAAAGGCAATAAAAGTTGAGATTCTTTATCTGTTAAGGTGAGGTTAAGGGGTAATCTAGATAATAGGTAGGAACATATTTAGGAAGAGGGTATAGTTGAAAAAGGAAACATTAGATAATTCAATCCAAACCGAAAAAAATTGGATTGGATCGGATCGGATCGGATTTGAAAACAAATCAAAACCGAAGGGATGATTATATGATCAAAACGAAGGGATTGGATCGGATGAATTTTGCTTCCAAAATCGATCCAATCCAGACCGCGAACACCCCTAGTGAATCATATGCTCGGAAAAAGAAAGAAAAGGTGCATATGCTTTGGAATATTTTTTTAACGAAGAGGGTAATTTATTATTTAGATCTCTCATGAGTCATGATGATTAGGATTGGCTCATAAAATGCTAGATTGAAATTAATGTTAAACAAATTTGTTTATTATTAGTTAAAAGAATAGAAAAATATGTAATCATAATAAATTAATTCTAGATTGTAGTAAAAATCATCAAAACATAACCAATCACCAAACTGAATTCATAATTTTTATAAATATAATCAAAACAATTAGTAATTCATGAAAATTGTGAATTTAAAAATGTTTAAACCCAAAGTTTCTGGTTAGCTCATTACAAGTTGAGAGAAAAGTAAATTAATATGGATTGAATTTTGGTAACTTAAACCAGATTAATTGATAAGTCATGACTCAATTTAACAACTCCGGTATCGAGGTATAAGTGTTTACTCTACTTTCGCTTTGAGTCAACTATGTATTATGGTAAAATAAGAATAAAAATTTCATGGATATATCTTAAACATAATTTACTAATAAAATTGATTCATGAATTTTTGCCCTCATTTTTACTCTCATGGCTCAAAGTATTCCGATCAAATCAGGAAAAAAGAGAGGGATTTAGTGTGTCCTTTTAAAGGACGTAAATTATGTCCTTTTAGACATAAATAGTTTTGTCAATAAAGAGAGGACAAATGATATATTTTAATTAAAATACGAGATAATTCTCTTTTTGTTTTTATTAGAAGAATGGGATGATTCTCTATAATTTAACCTTATCTTTGGATTGAGGGGAGAAAAGGGAAGAAAGTTTTTAAAGTTTCAAATCTTTTATCAATTGACTGAAGAGAAAAAAAAATAAAGGAACTAAAATAATAGAAATAAAAAATTAAAAAAATTAGCATCATCTTTTTTTTAATCTTTTTTTCTCATTTTCTTCCATGTCATTAAAAAATTATTAGGGCCTCTTTGGATGGGTTTTTCTCTCTTCAAAAGTTGTTTTACTTCAGGAAAAAAAAACATGTATGGGAGAAATATGTTTGGACGTCTACTTTTAAAAAGAGTAAAAGTCATAAAAAAAAGTTAAAAATCTTTTTTTTAAAATGAAAATTTTAGCTTCTAAAAATAACATAAGTTAAAACACAAATATTTTTCAAAAACTAAATATTTTTTAAAAATCTAAATAACTTTAACTTTTATAAAAAGTACTTCTAAAATAAATAAAATATAAAAATATTTTTTTTGAAAACTCATCCAAACAATCATTTATTCTCATAGAAGTGAAACAGAGCACTTTTATTATTATTGTGAATTTAAATTGGAATCAAGGAATGGGAACACCCATTTATCAAGTATATATTATTTTATTTTTTAAAAATTCCTGATATGAATTAAGAGAAATCAAATAAAGGAAATTCAAGAAAAAACAAAGTCAGGTATTGGATGAAGGAAATTCCTAAGATAGAAATTAGGGAACAAATTAGGGAGAAAGTCAAGAAGAATATCAGTCCGGATTAGTCCCATAGTCGGCTCAAAGAGTCGAAGCTCGTGGGGATACCGGAGGGAGCCAACTCGCACTCAAGAGGCAATCACGCCTAATTTAGGCGTCACTCGTCAGGTGTTGACATGTGTCATATTTTTTTTCAAAAAAATATAATTTAATCATAAAACTTCTGAAGGCCATAATTTTTTACTCGGGTATCCAAATAGGGTAATTCTTTTTTTGATTCCACATAAATTTTCGAGATCGACGCAATAACATCTTATTTGACATATTTTATTTCTCACAAACATAATTTAAATTTAAATCAGGTAATCCTTCTTCCTTAGAGATTTAGAATATTTATTTAATTATTTCCTTTATTAATACAGATTTTTCAAATTGATTTTTGAGTTTAAATCACAAATCAAATCTTTATTTTGTTTTCCTTATTAATAATAATTTTTATTTTTTAATTTAAATCACACATCAAATCTTGATTTATTTTTTATATTAAATCACAAACCCAAAACACAGAGGCTTCTGAGTTTAAAAATGTGACACGTGTCAACACCTGACACGTCACCAATGACGTCTAAATTGGGTTTCAATCAAGAGGCAATCACGCCTAATTTAGGTAATTTTATTTTTGAAAAAAATTCATAAGCCATAATTAATTTCAGACCATAAATAATAACTTAGAAGCTTATAGCATTAATCATTAATTTTAAAAATAATATTCTTCTTCCTTAGAGATTTAGAATATTTATTTAATTATTTCCTTTATTTCTACAGATTTTTCAAAATGATTTTTTAGTTTAAGTCACAAATCAAATCTTTATTTTGTTTTCCTTATTAATAATAATTTTAATTTTAATTTTTAATTTAAATCACAAACCAAATTTTTGTTATAATAAAAAAATATTATTAAAAAAAAATTAAATCACAAATCAAAATTTTATTTATTTATTTATATTAAATCACAAATCCAGAACTCAGAGGCTTCCGGGTTTAACGTTTCTTATAATATTATTCTTGCAAATTTAAATTGTGTTTGTGAGAAATAAAATATGTCAAATGAGATCTCATTGCGTAGATCTCGAAAAGTTATGAGGAATTAAAAAAAAATTACCTGATTTGGATACCCGAGTCAAAAGTTACGGCCTTCAGAAGTTTTATGATTAAATTTTTATTTTTTTGGAAAAAAAATATGATTGCCTCTTGAGTGACACCCAATTTAGGCGTCTTGAGTGACGCCCAAATTGGTCGTTATATTGTACAATAAATATATAATTATTTCCAAAACTGTAATATAATTATTTATTAAAAAACATGGACTTAATTTTTTTGGCTAATCCCGTCAAAGCATTTGACGTATTAGGTCTTGAAGTTTGATAACTAATCATGTCTAATTTGTTGTCCTGCACAAGTTTGATAATCAGGTCTTGCTTGGGTTTTTTCTTAAAAAAAAAAAAAAAGCTAAAAACAAATTAAGTGATAGGACCATGTTTAAATAATGAGTTTGATGTTTGTCATTTTAAATGACATAAGTTATATTATTTTAGGAGAGATATAGAGATAAGAAATGAAAATCATGGGAGAGAAAGTGAGTGATTTTTTTAATTTAAATTTTAAATAAAAAATAATTTCTTGTGTGAATCTCTCTATTAAAATGATGTAACATCTAGAGCGCTGACGAGGGCAGGGAGTAATCGCCGGTGCAAAGGGGCACGGACAAGGAGCGGCTCCTGACAGGCTTCCAGCGTGGGGTTATATGCATGAATGAATCGAATCGACACCCGAAAGAGAAGAATTCCAAAGACTGTGCAGGTATGAGACTGCACAGTTTGAGAATAGCTTATAAGAATCAATTGGTACTACCTATACTAACAAGATGCATCTGCTTTTCGGTAGCCCGGATCGGAAGAACTCCACAGTTAGGTGTGCTTGACTAGGAGCAATTATGGGATGAGTGACCTCCTAGGAAGCTTTCCCGGGAAGTGTGCGAGTGAGGAAAAAGCACACTGAAAAGTCTCGTGTTAGTATGTGGGGATAGTCATTGATTCTTGAAGCGACCGGGCGTTACAAATGACAAACACTTTCCACTTAAATAATATGGTGTTGAATTTAACTTGCTTTCTACTATGATAGGCACATTTTATGTATCTAATTGTATTTAAAAAGTTATAATTTATTCTAAATTATTTGTCACTTTAAAAAAAAAAAATTATTTTCTTAGCTCTACTTTATTTTTTTATTTCTACTTATTGGAATAAGAATGATTTAATAGAGTGAAGGTGTAATATAATCAAATAAACTTATATTTTCATTAAATCGTAAAGAATTTAATGAATTATTTAATTTTTGTACAAATCTTTAAACAATGATTATTTTAAAACTAAAAGAATTTGTGCTTTTAAATTTTGTATTATGTACTTTTATATTTTGAAACAAAACTTTATCGTATTGTGTACTTTTAAACGTGTGAGTAAGGATATAAGGATTAATCGTGATCAGGATGAGAGAGAACCTGATCATATAAATGCTCAACAATTTCTTGAGGTATCCATTTCTCCCCTTTTTAACGGTTTTATTGGATGATTCTTTCTCTCTACATTTTCATTTTCCTAACTCATGGGGTTGGGTTTGCTAGAACTAATCTGACTTATAACTTAT